ATATACAGTCAAACTTCCATAACTCGAAGTCCAAATTTGCAAAGAATAGGTTCGACTTATGGAGACTTCGAGTTAGAGAATTTTTTTATATTTTTTTATTTTTGAAAGGATAAAATTTGCAATCAAATAAAGCATAGAAGTTATAGTGAAGTAAAATATTCAGATATTAGGGTTTGGGACTTTAATTTTGCTTTTTATTTTCAGTAAAAAGAGATACTACATTTTTTTTATACTCTTATAGTGATCATCAGTTGTACTGTCATTTGTTTACAAATATAAATTCAGAATATTGAATAAATCTTCTATTTCATTCTTAGAAGGCTGATAAACAATTGCATCCACCGAACCCTCATCATCACTTTCCGTTGTGCTTAGAATTGGATCCAGTAGTTTGGAGCTATAGTGCTCAATAATATCGTCATCTGTAGAAAAACTTGACGTACAAATTTCATTGTCAAGTTCAATATAATCGTTAAGAGTAGCATTGGAAGTTATTTTATTTACTTTAAACCACGCTGTCAAAGAAAGAAAAAATTAAACATTTGATTTGGAAAAGGGACTTCCCCTAACACCAAAATGGATTTATAATTAAAACAAAAATTAGACTTATAGAATGCACTTTCCCATATTTCTGTTGGCACGAAACAAAATTTTTGTTCGAATTATAGAGAAATTCGAGTTCTAGAAGTTCGAGTTATGGAAGCAGATTTGCATGTAATTTGCTCTCTAAAACCTTGGTGCACTGTTTTTGGTTCGAGTTATAGAAAATTCGAGTTATAGAAGTTCGAGTTATGGAAGTTTGACTGTACATCCAAATATTTTCTTTTATATGAGAAACTTAAGTACTTAATTAGAAGCGAATAAATTGTAATATAAAAAAGTTTTTTAAAAACAAAGATGGTCCTAAATCTGTGGTATATATGTAAGCTATATTTAAGCTTAAGCTCTAATGAGTTTAATACCCCATTTCTGTTACACAGGTTGCTTTCTGAAAATAATGCTTACGTTTCAAACATGAAGTGCGTATATTAGAAAAAACCTATGACTGACTCGGTTTTTTTTTATATCAGCTAAATTCAAATCTTAGCTGATATGAGTAAAAATTTTTATAGTCTATTATATGCATATAAGTATCAAATTTTATTTAAATGCTTTTATTAAAAATGGAAGCCGATTGTTTAACTTATATAGAAGCTATAAAGAAGTGTCCCGATTTCGGCAAATCCGTCAAATAACTAGAAACCACTTTTGAAAAGTATGTGTGCAAAATTTTTTTCGGATAGTTCAAAAATTGAAGGATTGCTTTGAACGAAAATGACAAACTAACAGACAGAAAGGCCTAAATATAATAAATAATATAATAATTATAATAAATAAATTTTCAGGGGTTCATGACTTTTTTGTGGAAGTGTAGGATTTATATATTGAGCAACCAAAAAGTTAATTATATATAATTAATTTATTTAGCGAAAATACCTGCTTAATATTATTCATAGCTATCAGTGATACATAGTGTCCACAAAAATTTTATAAATCGAGTTCTTCTAAGAGGTTTACAATATTCATGACGCCAAGTATGGTTCCATATTTTTAACTAGTTTTCTATAGTCTTACACCACGCGTTGCCTATGTCTCCAAGTTGCCTGTGTGCTTCAACGTACCGCCCATCCTGCTTTTTAAATTCTGTTTGAATATTGTGTGGCCAATTCATAGTCACAGATTCTTAAAATTTACTACAAATACTTATTAATGGAGTTTTAAATGAGTTTTTAAATAAGTTTGGAGGACTTTTAATTTAGACCTTTAGCACATTACTGTCGGAACATTAAAATTATATATATAAAGCTTTGTTTTGATCTTCGTATGCATACTGAATTCAGATTCAGCGTACTTACTTAGTTTTATTGGTCATTATGCTTCTCAGATTCGTCGAACACTTAACGTGGTGATGATTTGAAGAAACCTCCTAAATAGTTAACTTCTTTATAATTTCTTCTATTAACTGCTGAGGACAACCAAATAAAATTAAATAAATATTCGATCGTTTCTTTCATGTGCTCCTCTTGATAGTTTCTAAAGTCATTTTCACAAATATTCAATCTATTGGCATACCTACCGTTCAAACAACGATCTGTAATGAGAGACTTAAGCAGATTGATAGCACTTACTGTTAAACTTAAGACAGTAATTGTTTTCTTGTATATTATTTCTAATAAAGTTGCTTCGAGATATGATATTGTATATATTCTATATACCAATAGTTTTCTGTCATTGTTGGTATTTTTGTCTAATAAGATGTTCAAAGGATGTTATAGTAGCTTCCATTTTAGATTTTATAGTGGTACACGAAAAAGTGATGTTGTGTCTAGCCAATCTATCAGCTGTACAAATTCCATGATTTGTGTGGTTTGGAAGTCAAATTAGATTATGATTGTTTGCTTAAAATGTCTTATTGAAAGATAAACGGGACAATTTTAAATCACATGATATTATCTCTATATTTTTGTTTAATTTTGTGACAATTTGAAAATATCCAAACCTTTCCTTAATACGAGTATATATCCATTGCTAGACAATGTCGGTTTACATCTCAACATTTTAGTTGAGTTAATTTCTATGAATTAATTTGATAAATTATGATTAAAGATTAATTAATTTTGGTAGATAATTTAATTTTAATTGCCAAATAGAAGAATTAATTTATGTTTGGAACATATTATAATATAATATATCTGTAATCTGTAGTTAATTTATCAATTGAGACTTTTTAGATTATACTCCTCATCTACCTATGTATATTAGTTTCGCAGTTTTGAGCTATTCGCTCCAAGACAAGATCTGTCTTGGATCGTCGATGTTTGTTAGTACAGGGTTTGGAAGAAGGATAAGAGTTTTGTATATGTTATCGAAATTCGTGAGTGGGATGATGTAGTCAGTATTCGTTGCTATTTCAATAAGCTACTGTATAATTGCAATGAGGAATATAAAAGAGGTAGATTACTGAGCAAAAGTTAAACGTAAATAGAAATAATTAATTGCTGTGTGTAGTTAAAATATATAAAATGTTGTAAGATCTATAAAATATTTAAAGTTTTCAGAATTTTTTTTTTATATATTCAATCCATATGTATTTAATTTAATAATTATATATTTTTAGAATCACAATAATTATTCTTGAAACAAGCTTTATAATGGATATATTTGCGAAATATTAATGTATAATTGGAACATTTCTTTATATTATGTTTTAATATATTTTCGTGATAAAGTAATTGTAAATATAATGAAGGAAATTATCTCACGCCGAAAATATTGCATTATGTTGTGTTTATTATTGTTTTAACAGCAGGAATGATCAATTAAATCAGAAATGAAATAAAACAATTTCTATGTTAATTCAATTAGAATTCCTAATAGCTTGGAGTAGTTCAAGTAAACTCACTTCACCATATGCCAAAATTTAAGTATAGAAATGAGTTTTTGCATATGCAGAGCAAATAAAACAAACCCCATTTCATATCCACAAGCCAATCCATTTACGCAACTATGGTAATATTGGAAGACCACCCTTGCGCCCTGTTGGCGAATAATACACATTATTTATGGGTAGTTAGGATTTTATGAACGAATAATGTTTGCTTTTATGGAAAACAAAAATATGAAGAAAATCGTTATTTATGTGGAACGGCAATACGTGTGGTGAAAAGCACCGGAAATTTAGCAACTGCAAAGAATTGATTTTCAATTATTACTGCACCCCCCCCAAAAGAAGGGGAAAATATCTACGAAACTTCTTAAATCAAACAATTATTATCTCTTGGAGGAAAGTGTTTGTGTTTGAAGGGTTTGTAGATTTGTGCTCCTATTCGATTTTAGCATTTAATTATTCAGTCAAGCGGA